GGTCATCTGGGGTCATCTGGGGTCACCTGGGGGTCATCTGGGGTCACCTGGGGGTCATCTGGGGTCATCTCAGGTCACTTAAGGGTCATATGGGGTCACCTGAGGTCATTTGGGGTCATCTGGGGTCACCTGAGGTCACCTGAGGGTCATCTGAGGTCACCTAAGGGTCATCTGAGGTCACCTGAGGGTCATCTGGGGTCACCTGGGGTCATCTGGGGTCACCTGGGGTCACCTAAGGGTCATCTGAGGTCACCTGAGGGTCATCTGGGGTCACCTGGGGTCATCTAGGGTCACCTGGGGTCACCTGGGGTCATCTGGGGTCACTTGAGGGGTCACCTGGGGTCATCTCAGGTCACTTAAGGGTCAGCTGGGGTCATCTGGGGTCACCTGAGGTCATCTGGGGTCACCTGGGGTCATCTGGGGTCACCTGAGGGGTCACCTGGCGTCATCTGAGGTCACCTGGGGTCACCTAATGGTCATCGGGGTCACCTGAGGTCACCTGGGGTCACCTGAGGGTCATCTGAGGTCACTAAGGGTCATCTGGGGTCATCTGGGGGCACCTGAGGTCACCTGGGGTCATCTAAGGGTCATTTATGGTCACCTGAGGGTCAGCTGGGGTCACCTGAGGTCACCTGGGGTCATCTAAGGGTCATCTAAGGTCACCTGGGGTCACTAAGGGTCATCTGAGGTCACCTAAGGGTCATCTGGGGTCACCTGAGGTCAGCTGGGGTCACCTGAGGTCAGCTGGGGTCATCTGGGGTCACCTGAGGTCACCTAAGGGTCATCTGGGGTCAGCTGGGGTCAGCTGGGGTCATCTGGGGTCACCTAAGGGTCACCTGAGGTCATCTGGGGTCACCTGGGGTCACCTAAAGGTCACCTAAAGGTCATCTGGGGTCATCTGGGGTCACCTGAGGGTCACCTGGGGTCACCTGGGGTCACCTGGGGTCATCTGGGGTCACCTAAAGGTCACCTAAAGGTCATCTGGGGTCACCTGAGGGTCACCTAAGGGTCATCTGGGGTCAGCTGGGGTCAGCTGGGGTCATCTGGGGTCACCTGGGGTCACCTAAGGGTCACCTGAGGTCATCTGGGGTCACCTGAGGGGTCACCTGGGCCACCCCCGTTGCCCCCCATCCCTTCATTAACCACCCGTCCCTAATTAACCCCCCCAATCCCAAATTGCCCCCCCACTTACCCAAAAACTCCCCAATTCCCCTCAGATTATCCCCCACTTACCGCAAAATCCCCAATTCCCCCCAGAACTCCCCAAATCCCCGGAAATCCCCCAATTATCCCAAACCTCCCTTTGCCC